TACAGTATACCAGCATCCATAACTTAAAGGTTTAGGCTTGTTAATACAACATAAGGTCCTCTACTGTTTATTACCTAAACTATCTCTAAATATAAAAATTGTGCCTGAAAAAAAAAATTAAAAAAAACGTTATATACATACAAAATAAGATGGAGTATCTGTCTTTTGGAACTAGGATAATTCCTGGATCAATGTATTCCTAGAGACAAAACATAGTGCAATATAGCCAATTTTAAATAATAAAGTGCAGTAGTGTGTGGAAAATCACTCACAAATGAAGAGCCACTGAATTAGGCTCAGATTTCCAGCTTTGTGGGTTATACAGGTACCCACTCCCTTCTTTTACTGATAGGAGGTCTCAAGCAATGGGATGTCCTCACAATAATCAGTATAAATATAAAGTGCTTTATTGAAAATTGCACAAGTGATAAAAAAATATATAAAACAGATTAAAAAAAAATCCTTACAATTCTGAAGGTAAGTCCTTTGTTTAAAGGCCTTAAAGTGCAAAATGTTTCACCTCGTTCAGAGGCTTCCTCAGTTGCTGCTGTATCTTGTTTTTGTTTAAATGCTTTTTAATTCGCTGTATTTTTCTCCCTTCCGTCCTCGGCCGTCATTCAATTTACTTTCGCTTCTGGGTTTTTGCGTTCCACCGTGGAACGCATTCGTCACTTAGTATATGTTGGAACGCATCCATACGTTTCATGGCTTTAATTTGAGAGAAGTACGATCTTGCCGGACATATAACAATGCAGTTACATATATTGGAAGAAATAAAAGGCAAAGAACAGATATAAATATAACATCTATATGTTACTAAAATAGTTGCTGTAAAGAGATATTTTATGGCTAAGCAATAGGCATTTATAATTTTAAAAGCAATTGTTTAGTTTAAAAATAATGGAAAATGATAATAAACAATGTAGCCAACTTATAGTATCACACCAATATAAAATTAGACTTAAATAGGGAGAATAGTAATTATAAAATTGCCTAAAATTAAAAAATGTATAGTTAAGTCAAGATGAAAGGAAAGATGTTAAAAATACTATATATATATAAATTTAAGAAGGATTTTATTGGAATATATAATTAAAAATGACAGACTTCAAAGTCGGAGTTAAGACCATAAGGAATAAGAGTCTTAAAACGAAAAATAAAACTCATTTCTTATTTTCCTAGTATTTTAAAATAATTCCCCCCTCTCCAGTCCCTTTTTTACTTCTTTTATTGCACAAAAAAACAAGGTTTCAAGATTTTGATTATGGACCTGTTTAAAATGTAATGACACTGAGTTTCTAAGCCGTTTTTTATATTTCTAATGTGCTCGGCAATCCTCACTTTTAGGGGTCGAATGGTTCTGCCTATATAAAGTAAATTGCATGGGCATTTTAAAATATATATAATGCCTTTGATTGGCAGGTTAAATGGTCATTTATAGTGTACGTTTTTTTTATTATATTCTCTATGTCCTTTAGGTGTATCTTTTTACTTTTTGTTGTTGTGCAAGGAAGGCACATGCTCATCCATTAAATCCTTTTAAATCTTGGATAAAGTGCTTTGTCTTTTTGGGGGTTAAATTACTTTTAACTAAAATACTTTTAAAATTCTTAGCTCCTCTATATGTTATTTTTGGTTTTGAAGGTAAAATCTTATTTAAAATGGGGTCATCCTTTAACAAGTGCCAGTTTTTTTTGATAATTTTTTGTGTCCGTCCCTTTTTGTCCATTAAAATTACAAATAAAAGGGATGTCATTTGTCTGAGTTGTTTTTTTTATTTTGCCTATATTGTATAAGACTTTCTTTTTAATGTACCTATTTCCTCTACTTCTTTCTCTAAAATTATTTTATCAAAACCCTTTTCAATAAATAGTTTTTTGATGTAGTTAGCCTGTTCAAAGTAATCAGAATCTAATTTGCAGTTACGTCGAATTCTTAAAAATTGACATTATTGAGCCATGGGTTGTAATGACAACTCGTTTTTTCGATGTAACTGTTTACCTCAACAGGTTTAAAATACTTTTTGATTATTGTTGACTCATGGATACTTATATGTAGGTCTAAAATCTCGATCTCCAATTCATTATCGTGGCTGGTTAGGTTGATCCCATAATCATTAGTGTTTAAATATGACATAAAATCCTGGAGTGCTTCCGTGGTATCGGTCCATATAAAAAAAGATATCGTCTATAAAAAACAGTGTTGGCTACCTCCTCCTCCTCCTCCACAGCTGCTTCCACCTACACGGCCACGGTGTATACCCAGATATATCAGAGCTGCTGCAGAAAGTGTGGGTCGTCTGTGCGCGCTTTCGGCGTTCTCACCCTGCTGCTGCTCGCCTGTCTGTGCTGCAGCGTAACTTCGGCCTTCCCGCTCACCGTCTCATGAGACTGTGCGAGCAACAGCAGGCGATAGTGGAGTTTCAGCTGCAGCACGCAAGGGTCAGTCGCTTTGCGGAACAGAGTTTTCTTTTTTTATATGTCCCAATATTTTGGGGGCTACCCCAATTAAAAAAAACAAAACAAACAAATAAAAAACAATGTTGGCTACCTCCACCTCCCCCACCGCTTCCACCTACACCGCCACGGTCACCGCCTGCTCAACCTATGGGTCACTTAGTATAAACTATGTACACATTAGCAGAGGCTTGTGAATATTCTCTGTACCTGGAGATAATTAAGTTTACTACGGCCACTTAACCCAATTATCTCCAGGATAGAGAGAACGGATTTTACTGTTTATGTGGGAGTGTTTCAAATTGTACTGTATGCTGATTGGTTATTGTAAATTATGTCCCAGTCCTACACAAGGTCCCTGTGGGAGTATACCTTGCTGCAGGACCTGCACAAAAGGCCAAGCTGTGGCCACTATTAAACAGATCGTTTTACCCCTTCATGAAGTCTTGGCTCATGTTTGAGGGATTGGGAGCTTTAATTCAAAACACCTTCTGCTACACTTGGATTTCGGGAGATTCTGCACGGATACACTCAGCTAGAGTATAGGAGATCAGTTATAGTATGTAAAATTACAGTCTCTTTAAATGCTAAAAATACTCTTATTCAAAATCTCTCAATCTATTCAGAATCGGTTTAGTTGTTAGATGGAAACAGATAGTAATTAAATTATTCATATCATGCATGAGCGCTTTCTTGACTAAAAAAATTAATAAATTGAAATCACCTAAAGCTCCATCTGGAAAATATCCTTAAACAAATAAGATTCACATTGTTCGGCGTCCAATCTCACGAACGTTACTTTCCACAATGGCTGTCAGATCTTGGTAAAAATGTTAAGACAATTTTTGGGTGTTTCTGGTGTTTTTGTCTTGTTTGATACTAATTTTATTATTATTCCTTAATTTCATTGTTATTTACTTTTAGGATCCCGTTCTGGAGCCAGCACGAATCCAACTGAAAACATTTGGAGAATCTTCGCGATCCCACATCTGGAACCCTTCCCATGGCAGCCATAACCAGTCCTTCATTAGTGATAATTAAAGGACCTTAAACCATATCTCTAGCCCACAAGAGTCACACAAGGGGGACCTCATCGCTTTAACTCCATGGACATATGTAAACATACTTACCAGTGGACACCAGCACACATGGCTCTCCCATATGTAGACAGCAGACCCTCACATGTTTCTATTTATTGCTTCTCCAATTTGTTGAGCCCTGACAGAAGGTTGAAGTGGATATTGTGAATTAATCCCTCTTCAGTCAGCATGATCTGCAAATTAAACTATAAAATGTGATGAAACTGGAAATGTTTCAAAAAAAAAATATGAGTCTATTTCACTCTGAAATATACATCTTTCTTATTCTACTCAAATGTCCTTATAATTCTGATTATCTTGAAGCATGGGTGGATTAGCGTATGAAAGAAATGAAAATGATAAAGCAGTTCTAATGTATACCTACAGTGGGTCGTATAGGGTTATGGGTTTCTACATCAAAACCTTCCAACTACAGCAAAGGGTGAATGGGAAAATGTTCTCAGGGTGAATGGGCAGATTCTCAGGGTGAATGAGTAGATTATCAGGGTGAATTAGTAGAGTCTCAGGGTGAATGGGGCAGCTTCCCAGGGTAAATGGGGCAGATTCTCAGGGTAAATGGGGCAAATTTCCAGGGTGAATGGGGCAGATTCTCAAGGTGAACGGGCAGAGTCTCAGGGTGAACGGGCAAATTCCCAGGGTAAATGGGGCAGGTTCTCAGGGTGAACGGGCAGTCTCAGGGTGAACGGGCAGTTTCAGGGTGAACGGGCAGCTTCTCACGGTGAGCAGGCAGATTCTCAGGGTGAACGGGCAGAGTCTCAGGGTGAACAGGCAGCTTCTCACGGTGAGCAGGCAGATTCTCAGGGTGAACGGGCAGAGTCTCAGGGTGAACGGGCAGCTTCTCACGGTGAGCAGGCAGATTCTCAGTGTGAACGGGCAGATTCTCAGGGTGAACAAGCAGCTTCTCATGGTGAACGGGCAGAGTCTCAGGGTGAACGGGCAGATTCTCAGGGTGAACAAGCAGCTTCTTAGGGTGAACGGGCAGCTTCTCAACGTGAATGAGCAGAATCTCAGGTTGAAATGACAGATTCTCTTTTTTTTATTTAACTACAGTTTCATTTAATCATTAAGACATACATATTTGAACTACAAAAAAAAGAAAAACATGACAGAATCAAGTTGTGGCTATATGGGGACTCGAGGCAGGAGGCGTCTACCAGATTAGGTGCAACAAAGGAATATTGTATATTAATAATAGTTATTTTATAGCTAGGGACTGGTAAAGATATAAAGAACTATATTGATGGAACAACAACAAGGGGATCGTCTTATAATAGCTCGCTCCATCTTACATTGTATAAGAATTTGTGAATGAATCTTGGGCCAGCTGTCCACCAAAGAGTTCTGGGGACTCTAAGTTTTCATTCTTACAGTCTCTCTTATTTACAATTAAAATATATGTGCAAAAAAGCAAAAAGAGACTGTGCCAATAGAGCTAGAAGTGATAGTCCAAAAAAAGAATCTCACTAGAGCAGCAGGGTAGGGTCAGAAGTGCTTGTGAAGACTTTACCTCAGGAATAGGTCCATCAGAGTGGCTCAAGATGTTCGTATATGTAAGGAGACAAGAGGGAGATACGAAAGCAGCCAATATTGCAATAAGTTGAGATCCAGAGATGAGATATTTGTAAAAAGATGGTAGTGCACTCACATTTACAAGAGCTATGACCAGCTCTAGTGTAGAGGGTGTACAGCGGTATAATCCCCGCTAATGGCATATGCAGGAGAGGTTTGTCCGTCAATACAGTCTGGATATCCAGGGCTCCAAAATAGGATAAAAGGACAACAATAGTGCTCTCAATATGATAAAATATAGCATAAAATAAATAAAATTATACTCAAGTCTAGAGCATTAAACACTACTCTATTGGTAAAGCGTTGGTGGTATGATCCCCACCTCGGATTGCTTTGAGTACAGGAACAGTAAAATGCCAGGGAAAATAAAAAAGTGCATATAAAATGCAATAAAAATAAAATTGGCACAACTTAAGTGACCAAAAGACTTTTATTGATAAAATTCACAATTTAAAACAATCATAACGCGTTTCACTATATGTGGCTTCTTCAAATTTTATCACATGACAGGAGGCTTCATATTTTGCATAACTTTCTTTACTATATGCCTCCAGCAGCACAAGTCAATCAATAAACTTTAAACCAATCAGTAACAGGCATGACATCCGTATATAAAGCCCTGACAGACACATGACTTCCTCTTTTTTTGCTGCTCCAGCCAAGGCACAGGTCAGAGGATTTTGCTCCAAACTGTTTTACTGATATTGCAAATTGTCATTAGTTATTCATTTATTGCTTAACATTCAGTTTGCTCCAAACTGTTATTTTATTAATATTGCTATGGTCACTGTAGTGCTAGACATTCAGTTTTAATCCTAACTGTTTTTTCTGGATACCACTTTAATTAAACTTTATTAATTGACTTTCAGTTTGCTCCAACTGTTTTTATTAATATTGCTATGGTCACTTTAGTTAGATTTTTAATGCTAGACATTCAGTTTTTGCTCCAAACTGTTTCTGGATATGCATGGCCACTTTTGTTAAACTTTATTGGCTTGTCCTGCAATTTTGGCCTAAACGTTTTTCATTATTTTGCACTTGCCTTCCATTTGGATTTGTATAGTGTGATATTCTCCCCCTGTTACCCTTCCCCTGAATTAACCCTGTATTTTCTGCTTTATAAGCCTGTTCTCTGTTGCTGGCACCTTTTTTTTTTTTTTTCCTATGCTTTACTCTGGTCGTTTTACCGCGAGCACGCTTTTTATTCATTGGTGCTGGGACTTCAGGGCAGGCCTCTGGGGGTTAGGGGTGTCTGGGGGACTCTTTTCCATGCTGGCAGACCGCGATCGTATCCTCGATCGTGGGCCGCACGGCACTTTTGCGCGTGAACGGCGGCCATCTTGAATCTCGCGGCACTCGCGAGATTCACGTCGGCCATGTCGTTTGGCCAGTTCGTGATTCCCACGAACTGGCGGCTAGTTCTGTACTGTTTCATATATTTTTCCTGTGAAATAAAAGTTTTACAAGTACTTTTGAGCTCAATACTGTTCATGGGCATGTGGAATAAAGGTTTTATATGTACCTTTCCTGGAAGATTATGAATGGACTGTTCACTGCTGAGCTCTATACTGGCATATTTCATTGGCATGTGAAATAAAAGTTTTATATGTAACTCTGCATGAATATGTAGGACTGATCCCTGCTGTGTGCATCTGCTGACAGTTTGCTCTATTCTGTTCTATACAATTGACATGTTGAATAACAGTTTTATTGTACATCTGGAGGATTATGAATGGACTGTCCCCTGCTGTGGGCATATAGTGGTTGCAGTACTCTATCTGCTGGCAGGGAAATTAAATAGAGCTGATATCTTACTCGGCTCCCTACTCCCACTGGACCTCACAACCATTGGATACACTCCTTCCCCACAGGGATACACCTCCCAGGACACAGTAGTGGAGGCACATAACGGAGTGATTAACAGGGGTGACCCCCCTTATGCTGGGTGACCCCCAAGCGTGGCAGACACCTCTCCAAAGTGACATTGTGGTACAGGGGTGACCCCCCTTACGCTGGGTGACCCCCAAGCGAATCTGGTTCCTGTCCTAGTGACATACATATACTGGGGTGATCCCCCTACGCTGGGTGAACCCCAAGCGAATATTATTCCGGTACTAGTGACATACATATACTGGGGGGAACCCCCATGCCCTAGGACGGGCTCATATCCACGGAGTACGATCTGTTACTGTATGCACAGACCGGGTCACACTGGATACATGTATATCGACAGAGCCAGGAAGGAGAGCTCACGGTGCTGCCAATTCTCCACAGTACTATATCCTATAAGGGTGACCCCTTGGATAATTTGGAGGCTACCATACCTCCCCATACATGGGCTACGTCCCGACATTACTGACCGCTCATCCCGGTCTTATTGAGGGTGACCCCCTCCTCAGACCACTCCCAGGAAATCTCTAAGTGGTACTGATTGAAACAATACTGGGTGACCCCCAGTCGTACGTGGAGGCCCACTAAGTGGCAATAAGCGTACTACCGTACCTGACACCTGTTCGGTACCCCATAGACCGAAAGAGTGTCCCAACATGCCATAAGAGACATTCATACAGGGGTGACGCCCCTATGCTGGGTGAACCCCAAGCGAGTCTTACTCCGGTGCTAGTGGCATAGGTACAAAGGGGTGACCTCCTACCGGACGGGGTGACCCCCCGCACCCTTTCTAGGGCTTCTACCTTCAGAGTACGCTCTGTCATTGTATGCACAGACCAGGGCGCACTAGATGCATGTATTCTGGCACCTCTACGCTTCAACTGGGGTTCCGTACGCCCTTCCCTTAACTGAGAAGGAGAACTCACAGTGCTGCCAAAACTCCACAATTGTAGACCATATAAGGATGAACCCCGTGGACTATACATATTGAGGCTTTCACGTCTCCCAGACTCGGGCTACGTCCCGACATTGCAGACCGCTCATCCCGGTCTTACTGAGGGTGTCCTCATTCTCAGACCACTCCCCGGATCCTGCAAAAATGATACTGATTGATCAAAATTCTGGGTGACCCCAGTTATACGCGGAGGCCCACTGAGTGGCAATAAGTGTACTGTTGTACGATCCTGTCTCCCACGGACCGAAACGGTGTGAACCAACATGTCGGACTTACCTCAATATCCCCGACCGATTTTCAGGCGAGGATTAAGGCCGCCATGATAGCTCCGGGGGAAGAAGTCCTCTCCAGTATGCTGGCTAACAATCCATCCGACAGAGCAGGTGCAACGGCAGCAACACCAATGGAAGATTGAGATACCGACGTTAGGTCGGACACCCATCATCAGGGGACGAGGACTTCATCCTTCCCCCTTCTATGGAGATCATGAAAGAATGGAGGGCAGAAGAGGTAAAAGTGACAAGACCCGCCTAGCAAGAAAGGTTTTTTTCTTTGGCACACTGGACACTCCTGTTTTGACTCACGCACCATCCGACAACCAGGGTCATCCGAATGGGGTTAACTGGAGCACCGGGCACACTTTGCCCACTTCTGGCTTAGGAGGCCTATGGGAAAAGAAATCCGAGACAGGCTCAGGATGAAATGCCCACGCCCTCTATGTCCGAACAAGATAGTCCTCAATATGGAGCTTGTGGTGATATGTATGTCCCGATCAGGCCGGGGTCCATGTAAAGGTGTAGGAGGAGGACTCAAAACGAGTTAAGATGAAATACTGGATATTATCAGCCCGGGAAAAAATTCTATACTTTGCGGACCTGACCACACACAAGACTCCCCTCTAGAAGCTCACGATGTGAGGGAATGGGTGCAAAGGGCAATATGTAGGTTGGGGAACGCAAGGCAGACAGGTGCACAGAACGGTGCAAAGCAGTCCGATTAAAGATGGATTTCAAACTATTGAAGTTAGGGACGAAAGAGCGAGGACCTCAGGCGGACGGACTATCGTTTGGAGAACCATTTATCTCAGCTACGGTTTGGTAGTAAGGAAGAAGATAGGAGACTATCACCCAGTCATCAACCTACGCCAACCCAATGGTTTTGGGGCGTACCGACAACTCAAGAAGGAAGGTATCCATCTCTTAGGGGATCTACAAGGTTGGACTTGAATGGCACTTACCTATAGGTTCACATGGTGCCTCATGAAGTTTCTGAAGTCGGTCATGGCGCACTGAAAAGCAAAGGGTATCTGCTGTCGCATACCTAGACGACTTACCTTTTGCAAATCCAATTCATGACGAGATTTATGTTTACAGTTTCGGGAATTGTTGGGATTCATAGTGAACAGAGAGGAGTCGGTTCGATCCCAGTTCCGAGTGATTCAGTTCCTCTACTTCAGAATAGATTCCACCTTGAGCGGATTACACCTTCCCACATCATTGATAGCGACGATTCGAAAGGCACCATAACCCTTTGACTATTTCCCAGGACTGCTTCACTACCGGGCCAGACAGTGGCTGAAAGCTCACTGCCTGAGATCCGGATACACCTATGAAATTGGGGTCAGGGTCAGAATAGCGAAGACTTCGATAGTACTCATTACTGCGGTAAAGGAGTCAAGCGTGATCATCCTCTGCTCCTTCCATTTTAACTTGCCTTCGGGCGGATCCAAAAGGAGAACATCATCCATTGATAATGCAGGAGCATCTGGAGTTGTTAGATTGGTGTCTTTCAGGGGAGACTGGTATGTCAAGGGACTATCGCAACCAACTAGAGACCTACTATGGGACTCATGGACACCAGGTATTCCCCGAAATAACTTATCCGCATGGAACACCTGGAGTTCGCTGGTGTATGGGAAGGGACTGCGATCCCCGTTCTTTGTGCAGTTAAAGCGGTACTTTGTTACATGGAGATCACGACAACACTTAGAATGTCACATTCAGGACATCTGCTGGTCTTATACCAACCGTACAAGCCAGTTACCATGAACACTCTGTCTAGATGGGTTCATTGGTTGTTATCGCTAGCGAGGGTGGAGACGTGTTTGGGTACTCATTCGGTAAGAGGCGCGGCTGCTTCTCAGGCCTTCACGAGGGGGCCTCTATATTTTCAGCGACGAATTGGACACGGATAGACTACTTCCGTATATTTATTTTCGTCAACCACACACGCATCCTTCTCGCTCATACCACAGCTTTAAAAATGCAAAATATGAAGCCTCCTGTCATGTGATAAAATTGTAGATTATGCTAACGTAGTGTACCTATAATCTTAATTTTAATAATGACAGGAGGCGAATATTTTCCCTCCCTGTTTCCCTCCCTATACTCTGGAAAATTTTTATATTCTGGTTTGTCATTTTCTCAGTGTAAATTATAAGGTTTTGGTAATTCAGTATATTTATGGGATGCTTATTTGGTTGATCCGTGTTGATTATTAAGTATACTATGGTTTGTTTAATGTTTCAGTATATTAACTTAATATAAATATAGATGCATATAGTACTGGATTTAATGTGGACAACAGTTGGTTTCCATCACCTTTCACATATTTCTGTTCTTTTCAGCGTAATCATCATAGATGGATTCGACAAGATAAAGCTGGAAGGTTTCAAGTGATGTTCTACACGTTAATCAGGACTGTTATTTGAATTCCCTGACGTTATAATAGACTGTTTTTCGCATCAAAGAAAGAGGAAGTCATGTGTCTGTCAGGGCTTTATATATGGATGTGATGCCTGTTACTGATTGGTTTAAAGTTTATTGATTGACTTGTGCTGCTGGAGGCATAAAGTAAAGAAAGTTATGCAAAATATTCGCCTCCTGTCATTATTAAAATTAAGATTATAGGTACACTACGTTAGCATAATCTACAAATCACTCTCAGTTGTATCTCCATAATCTTCAGATGAGTTTTATACGCAAAGTATTCCCATGGGTCCCTTTGAGTGCAGGTTATCATTAAAATCCTTTCCAATCTGTTCTGGGGATAAACATGTCTCGTCCTTATATAGCATTTTAGAAATGTTATTTTGTTTAGTTTTATTTTTGAGTTTATTAGATAGCATTTTATCTGTCCTGTTACCTTTGTAATAGAATGTGGCTTTTAATCTTTCGAGTGTTTTATTTGCTTTATTTATGAGAATTTGATTTATCTAATTTTAGAAGGCAATAATTCTATTTGACAGTGACTAAGAAGGGGATGCCTTATTGTCTCTTGAGAGATTATACAATTGTACAGGTAAATTGGTTAGAT